GCTTCAAGGTAATAGAACGTGTGCTTTCCATAAAGCTTTACCCAATAATTTTACAATAGATGTTGATAGACAATAACAAAAATTGTACAAGTATGATACATTCGAGAAAATTCTGACTCTTTAAGGTTCAAGCAGAAGCACAGACTCTTCTCTTTTAATCGGTGGCAGAGGACCCCACACTGCATCTATATAAACTGTGAAGCTTGATTTGATCCGTAATTTTATAGTCGTAGTATTGTTAGTTCAAGATTTAAAAGTGTGTCTTCTTATTTTTTATTGTAACGTTATTTTATATATTGCCTACATAACATTGCCATACCTTAATTACTTAGGCGACCTTTCACCATTTATCTACAGTTTTTTATCGAGTTTTTGAAAACTTTGGTAAGATTAAATAATGTTGATATAGGCTACAACTAGTTTATAACACCAACTAAAGTCGTTACAAAACCATTCCCATGTATCTAAGCTTACAGAAAATGTTCATGCGATTCGGGGATTTTCCGGAAAGACCCTACTCGAAACCTCTTAAAATTGATGCCTATCTCATTATTTATCAAACCCCACGGCACTGAATCCCACAAAAGTTATGACGCACGGAGAAATATGTACAAACAACTTGATAATTCATTGGCTGCGATACAAGATATGACTGGTCATTAGGTATAGATAGATCATGTTTTACGGAAATGGTGTTTTGAATGACTTTTATCATTATAATACGATAAATGTTAGGTTTGAGTTAAATTATATCATTAAACTATCTTTAGCTAGACGTCGGGACCACAGTGTCCATTTGACCTTGGCAATGAAGTTTCGTGATAGTAGCTTTACAACAAACCGTAAAACAAAATTGATAAAATTAATATAATTGTATCAGGAATTCTCATGTTCTTCTTGATACAAATAAAATATGAATTGACCATACGCAATTCGCCAATATGGTGGCTAACTTCAAAATATCCAATGTAAGAAATCCTAATTTCGAAATTTACTGCAACATTTAAATAGCCTACCTTACCTTTTTTCTTTGGCGTTCTATGTTAACATTTTTGTCACAAGGTAAATAAATAAACTAACACACCACCACCGCCGGAAACCTCCATTTGCCTGATTTAAATGTAGAGACCATACCACCCTATATTACCCAATTGTGGTCGTTTGTAAGCCCAATTAATGCATTAAAGCATTCATTCCAAATTGCATCAAAATCAGACCAAAATTAATTGCTCGAGCTATTGCGTCCACTGACATTATAGGGAAATTTGCAAAAGGTTTAGTACCTTTGTCAGAAAACCTTAATCAAACCATTTAAATGCCTTTACATATTTTTCCTACAGTTACTTGACAAAGTGGGCTTCCTTGTACTGATTATGGTGCGCAAAGTAGCTACCTCATGCATTTACTTACGGTACTTTTGCCGCACTAATTTTTTGCCACACCATTTTTGGTGGCACTCCAGTTTTCCAACCAAACAACACAGTGTACTTTCATTAGGCATGTAATACGTGCACGCTTGAAAATAAGCTGGCAACACTTAGCAAAAGACTAAGACTACTACCAGCTGGTGCAGCGTTTTCCATTTCATTAAACGCTTGGATTTAACCTAACCTAAAAACGTGCTGTACAGTGTTTGGCAGACTAATTATTTATATGCTTTATAGTAACTGTATGAAAAATACAATGTGTAACACAAGTGCAAAATGCCTTTGCTGCACAAGAAAATTTCCACACTCGCCTGCGGCTCGTGCGTAAACATTTCTCTCTCGTGTGCAGCTGAGAGTTGTGTTTCTCAATTGCGTTTGCAACAAGGAAGTTGCAGGGTGTAAAGAAGACACAACAGCTGATACGTGATAACAGTTGATAACAGCAGGTTACTAGAACACTGCGGCGACCCTCGCCTACAAACCTCTTTACACACTCACTCGATACAATAATTTAAACTATAACATGTAAAGCAGATAAATATCTAATTCACATTGTGTACCGGCTGGTCGGGTCTGGACTCCTGACGGAGAAATCGCCTAAACTTTTATCTTGTCAAATAGGAAACAATGTTTTTCTCAACAACAATATATGGCACAAAATTATATGGTAAAAAATCAAACTGTTAAAATGTTAACATAGTATACAGTAATTAACTGGCTTGTAATTCGTTTATTTAAGCTTTTTATGAATAATTTGTTTAAATTTTTGTTGCCTTACAAGAGATGACAATCAACCCATAAGGTCCACGTTAATTCCTAACAGATAAAATAATATCTTTACAAAATATAAACGTTTGTTGGCCCAACCATTGATCTAGGTCTATTTATTTTAGTAGACTTTAGTTATACTCTACAGATAGCCTATAGGTTATTCTTAAGGACTAAAGCCTATAGCCAATACAAAAAAAACCAAATATTGTTTAGTCCAATTGCTTAAGGACTAAATATGAGAACACAGTTCTACAAAACTAAGTATCCCAATATCATAAACAGATACAAGTAGTATAACAAATTTGCTAATTAATTAAATTACCTTAGTAATAAAATAAATTTGGCTATTTTTTTATTCATCTTAAATTCTTAAGCATAACTAATTTCAATATAAACATACTCGATTGCACTTCTACACTATAACTTACATTTTAATTTCAACTTGTATATTCATAGAAGATTATTAAGAAACTTCTAAATGAGCTTTGATGTTTTGATGCTAGTATTTACAAAAGGTCAACGGTCAATGGGCGTATGTATATGGCCTGTCAAATAAGTCAAAAACTTTCGTCATATCTCCTTGACCAATTAATGGCATCCTTAAGGTTAGAAGGTGATTTGAGATATATTTTTGTATTATTTATCATAAGCAATAAACAATAATAAGTTTGGTGTCCTTTCCCAAAAACATGCATGGATATATACGTGTATAATATATTTATTACTTTATATGAAAACTGATAAGCTGTTTTTGGCCAGTTTGATATCAACCATGTCGTGAAGGAAATGGATCTTTTTACATCCGCAAATTAAAAAGAGCATTAAAGTATATTTAGTTTATATATTTGTCAAGTACAATATTAAAATCAAAATATAGTATAGGAATATTGCAAATCTGTTTAATGCAATTACTTCGTGTTTATTTTCAACTTATGAATTGGTAGGGTTGTTTTTTGTATTTAAAGTTTTTTATACTGTAATGAAAACCGTCATAAGTTGACCTTTTTAATTACAAGGAAATTTACTTGTTTGCCTACGAGAAGCTAGTAGAAGTAAGATTACCTAAGGTTTTGTAAACTTCGATTGTGATGTAAACAAAATATAAAACACCATAAGACATCAAATCTCTCAGATCTTATGTTGTTTGTTTATCAGTTTCTTAAGCCAACCAGTATCATAATAAACCATTGCTTTCGTCCCACTGAAAGACTATAACAGCTCGTAAAGTCCTTGATGGAAGCAAAAAATATGCACAATTATGCTCAAAATTACGGTGTATTTTCTCATAAGAATTATTGGGCCGGAACGATTCAAACACGTAGTAAAATTTACCACGTAATAATTTAGATTTAATCATACCGCTGGCAGTAATGATAACAAATTTTGGCTGACCTTCGCAGGGTGGAAGCGTACGATTTACTGCAATTGTGAGAATGACAGGCGATTTGATCGTGATGTACTTTAGAGACACGTACTCAGGCCTGACTCATTATAGAAGTATGATGGCGGCTGAACAATGGGAGAAGCGAAGGCGTGATTCCGGGAAACTAGGCGACTATTGAGTCATATTTCGTGTTACACTTCATTCGAGATGAAATCTTACCTCGTGAGTTATATCCTCTGAAAATAATAAATTATTTCGAATAAGTTAAGACAAATCAAGGGCTATGCTTTGACGTCTATCTCAATTAAGCTTAACAATTAATTAATTGTCCTTTAAATTTGTTTCTATTACACAAGAGATGTTTTAGGATTTTTTATGAAAGTGGTTCAAACACTTAGAAAAGATGCGTTGAAATAGTATTTTCTGTTACAGCTTTATACTTAAAAATCAATGTTGTCAAATTACATTGTACATTATAAGGTACTATGTGTATCGGATGTGATCTTAATATTAGCATTGGGAATAATTGGGAAAGTTATTTTCTAATATTAATTACTAGTACTTATTTTTTTTACATTTTGTTCCTACAACGGTTTGATTAAGGACACTCAACTCCAAAAGGGAATGACTGAGTGACAGAGATATATTTTGATTGAAACTATAAAAAAATACACCAATTCTATCTTTGGCTCACAGTCTAGTGTTGGGGCTCACGCACAGATTTTTAAGGAGCGCTTTAGTAAACATCTTAGCTAGTCCAAAATTTTGAAAAGAAATTACTCGAAATTGTATCAATAACTATCCGTCCTTAGCTATAACATTTATATTGTTCCATATAATACTATAAGCTCAAGCTTGGTTTGAATCTTAAAGTCGATAATAAATTTTATGACAGTAAATGATTTTACAATAGTAGTAGGTATATATAGTCAATGTTAATAAGTCGTTTTTAATGTAACCTTGGCTAGTTTGCAAGCCTTTCCTCTTGTTCTGGATACAAATTGATGTTTGTGTTTTCCTCAGTTTATGATTTCGATTCTAAGTTGGCATACAATTTAAAAAGAAAAAAATACCATATCGAAAGTCTACATGCAAGATATGAGAAAAAGTTCATAGTCTGTAATACATTCACCCAAACCTACTTTAGGAAATACAATTTAAAGACAAATTATTAAAAAACTGTTCAAGTTTGTTCCACGGAGAACATTTCCAAAAATTCTTCACCAGTATGATTTTGTCTAACAATCATTTTGCAAATCATGTTAACTGTTTTGCTTATTAACGTGGAAATTACATATCCACAACCACAAACCACAACTGACAACTACAGCCGCTGGCTCCAGAGGGTTCTACCGTCCCCCCTCTTATTACTTTCTCCGCTAGTCACTTAGACAACTCCTTCGTCCTTACTACAGTCCTGACCGCGTACCGAACATGACCAACACGCTCATGAGGCGCGTACGTTAGTGGCTTCTTGAAATTGGTGTAACTTCGTGAAAAATCTTTCGTTCAATATAAAACAATACAGTAATATTTTACATCCATATTTGAACATTTTGTGTATTCACCATGTCGGAAACAGTGCAAGTTATGTCCTGTCCCACAGGAGAAGAGGAGATCGTCACCCTCCCTAGAAGAAAGAGTCTGGTGCGATTCTCCGCGACCGACGACGCCGAGAGACCGAGGGCGATCACCAGGATACCCACGAGGGCGGAGTTGACGACCCTTACGAGGATGGCGAAGAGACCCGCCGTGGATATCGAGTTCCAGGACCTCACCTACCAAGCAGGTCAGTGAATATGTTAATCCTCCTAAAAGAAAATGGGCATGGGTATAAAGTAAGGGTAGAGTTAAAAACAAGAAAAACTGAATCTGTAGGGTTGTTAAAAATTATCATGTTTTTTTGGGATTGACGTGCTTGTGAAATATCGAGCGTCGCAGAGTCCACTGAGGTTGTTCTTGGATAAGGCTCGCTTATATGTTCAGCAGGATTACTGGGGGGGTAGTTCTGTCACGATGGATAGGTAACAACCCCTATACTGTAAGATATTTTTTAAGAAATGCAGTTCAGTTTCCACGTGAATGATTCATAAAATATAAAGAAGATATTAGCCGGCTCAGAAAAACTAGGCGTTGGAGGTTGTTAGAAAGGGATTAAAGTTATCAAGAACTTTGAGTGTAAGTGTGTGACGTTTATGATAAAATAGTTCAAGATGACCGGCAGAAATGACCACAAAGAAGATCGTTAGTCTTTAATGGTCCTACATCTTTCATACAGATATGGAATACGTCATCAAAGTTGATAAATTCTAACGGGATTAGGCAACGAAACAGCTATTTTGTTAACCGCTCCAGAGTTTAGAGCGGGGCTACTACGAGCGGGGGGGGGGGGGGACTAGTGATAGTGATACGAGCATAGATGAAGTAATATAATTAATTATATTATAACTAATTATATTACTTCATCTATGATACGAGTGTGGGGCTTCTGTTCTGAAGTCTCGGGCTCAAATCCTGCCAATTGCTAAAAAAACTGCAACAACATAATAATCCCATTCCGGGGTTTAAATACCACCTTGTTGTAGGTCCATACTAAGTTTAAAAAGATACATATCTAGGTGAGAATAACTGTATTTTATCTCAAGATAACCCTCTTCGTAAAGCTATACGATTTCGTTACCACTACCCTAACAGGTTGTAGATCAGATGTTTTGTAATGAGTATTTTCTAATATTGAAAACAATTCGGATCTAACGAAGGTAAAAATTAACACGCTACGAACACAAACTACACACGATTACACACATTACACTACGAACGTAACACTCTGTTTAGCTAAAAAAAAAAAATAAAATGTGATGTTTAAGCACGGTTCATTGAATGGTAATCAAAACCTTTCTCCTGCACGTGTACAGGGCTAATTACCAACAAACGGTTTAAACCAAAGTTCACCGAGTACTTGATAAACTGCACATGTTTGAATATTATTGCGTAAATCGCGAGCATGTATCATTCCGGATCAGAAAGCGTTTAGTGAAATATATTTACATCCATGTTTGTTACTGCCGGTATAAATCATAGTTTTATAGATTTAAAACACCTAAAGGAGGACTCTACTTTTTTCATATCAACAAATAAAAACTACAAGCTAGAAAATATTAAACGAAACATTATAATTATTATATTTTAGTTAGTCTATACTTTACATTGATATAAAAAGTAAATAAGATCATAAATATTTATACTTTCTAGTAAAGTAAAATCCATAAATTTCATAAAGCTTTCTACTTAAGCTTAGATTTTTACCTATAAAATAACAATAAGCCAACAAAATCAACTCGTGTTTTAGAGTATGGTCCAGGTTCAGAGTCCTTAATTTATCTTAACCTATTTTAACTTTACCTTATTCACTAAAAGAAATTATCCTATCGATGAAAAAACGAAAACAATTTATTGTCAAAAGTATCGTCAATTTATTGCATAAAATAAATCCAACGTATAGTAATGTATTTTAACAAAAATATCAAGCATTTAGAATGAATTTCAAACTTCACAAACTTCATATTCCTCATTGGATATGTTTTTAACGTAATTCAGTCTTCAATAATATATTCCGCAATTGATTAACACCACCGATTGGTTAATAGTTTCTCTAGTCTCCTTGTAACTACTTGATGATCTAAATAATGTAACAAACCATCGACTCACTGGGCATTAATAACAAATCTGCAATGTATTGCTTATATGGGCGAGGCTTGGCTAACGATTTCCCGAACATTAATGGAGTTTTATATTTATGATGCAATTATGGATGAGGGGAGGGATTCGAATGACTCAATCGGCCTTTAGTAATACATTTTACTTTACATCACGCTGCTCATTGCTGTATATCCTACATACATTGTAACCTCCTGGAGCTTAGTGCATCAGAAGCATTGCATAGTGTATTCGTCGAGACACATTAACAATTTTTTTTAAAACGTAATGCGCCAAGTCGGCATTATTATAGTGTAATACTCGTCGAAGCATATCATGTGGCTTTTTCATTAATGTTTTCATTAAAAGCGGCGTCTAAAGGGTGATGGGTGGATAAATGGTTATAGTGCTCGTCTAAATACATAACATAAATAGGTTTTGATGTATCAATATTAATACACGCTTATCGGTCATATTTTTTTCTCACGAATTTCTAAGCAGCTAACCTTCTAAATTCAAGCTCAACCGAAGCCTGGCTTGGTAGATCTACAGGGGTTCTAAGCACGTCCTTGCCATTTGATTATAATCAATAATCCTAACAAAGAGGAAACGAGATTATGTAATGACCGTGATAAAAAACTATTTACCGAGCACAGCCTAGCGACGCCGCTGGCGTTGTGTGAACATCATGTCCATGGTCATCAGTTACAGTTTCCTGATAGGTAGGTCCGAAGCTGAACTGAAGATTCTTCTTTACATCGTTGTTTGATAGCCTACTAGAATGGGGAGCGAGCTGGTCTAGTGGTTAGAGCGCGGTACCAACCACGTCGCTACAAAATTAATGAATGTTGGAAAAGGTTTGATTTTTTTCTAATTTTCAAAAGTCAAGCAATTAAATTATAAGTTATTATAAGCTATATAAGTGTACTACTTATATAGTCACGCTAAGTGCTAATATCTCAACACGTAACAATCATATGTTTACGTGTTTACGATTGTTTAATTGTTGTAACGTAGCATAAAATATTTTTTTTGCATAATGGGCCTTTAAAAAGAGTTTCAGTAGCAAACTACCTACTGATTTTTTCCAAAGATCGTTTATTTTTATAACCGTCTAAAATGTATTTAAATTATCACAGCATTCCTCCAATACTGTAATACTCCATACCGTAGTTTAGCGTTGTCACGACAAGTCTGTGTTTACATATCTGCATTGACTACTGATACCAAAATATTTTACGAATTCGAAAACAGGTTTTTCTAGAATCCTTCAAAACATTGTTGTTTTCTTTCTGTACTGATTTATTCTTTGATTACTTGCACGTTTCGTCACTTGGTATTCTGTATAGCCCGTTACGTCCTTGGACCTAGTTTATTCTTTAATCTTCATTGTTAACAAATATTATCAGATCCTCAAATCAGTAGACGACAAGATCAAACATGATCTGATGTTTACATTGATTTTATTTTTTGTCCCAAGGATCAATTCAAATGTCTCAAAATTAAAATTTTAATTGATTTGCTGATTGTTATTTTCTTGTCTTAACATAGACAATGCAAATTCATGTAACTCATATCATCATAATAATTAGGCCCTGTTACAAAAGGCAAAAACTACATATTAATGTTGGTTAAAAGTTACAATTAGTAAGAGGAATGGTTTTAACGGAACCCAAATACTTCCTGTAATATTTTGATGAATTTTCGTTGATGTTTTAACATTTTTTTGTACTTTCTTATTCATGCTTCGTATCAAATTAAAGCTTGCAATTCCAAAGTGAGCCTTTTGTAGGTTGAAATAACCCTAAAGGATACGAAATGTACCAAATGGCGTACTAAGTGTCGATAGTATTTATGCAAATTTGGTCATCATTCGTTATTGGTTCAGTTAATTTCAATTTATTCAATAATAACATCCAACATTAGTACATTGATGTATATAAGTCTATTTCGATTGTTAATGAATGTAATGTAGCTGCTTAAAATCTCAAGTTTTACATATTTCAACAGTTAAAAGCGAACAAGAAGCAGAAGGTAGTTCTATTTTCCACGCTGAGTTGTTGACAATAGGTATCAGCTGACTTCAACTCACCTTAGTTTCCGGTCATGAATATGCAACTGTCGACATCATAGCATGCTCTGTTAACACCGTAGTTGCAAACAGGCAAAAACGCCAGCTTGTCAACAAATACCCAACCTTGGTATTTCTATGTTATTTGCTAGGTGTTTATCTTGCATTGATCTTTGACTATTGGATACTAAAGTACATTCCATCATTAATTTAAAAAAAAAAAAATCGATGTGTGAGGCAGTCACAGAATTCGCTAGGGTCTAAAATTCCATTTTCTACCTCATTTTTTGTTGCTGACAAAGTTTATGGGTCAAAAAGTAGTTGCTATCGCTCACAAAAGTCGTTCTATAGGTTTGGCTAGGTAAAATGTTCGTATATTAGTTATAAATCAGTAATTTACATCAAAACTATCTGTCGGTGGCTCACATCAACGTTAGTTGGAAAATTACATAATATATTAGATAATGTGAGTTAATCACAAAAATAGTAGTGTATAAATAATATATTTTCCTAATGACTTGTTGACAAAAGTATTTACTGAATTTTATCGATTAAGCCATTTTATGTAAAATTTAAAATAATCAAGTCAAAACTGCGTAGCTATAACCATAGACTAACCATGTTTTATCCATGCTATACGTAGGTTTTAACCTTATTTTCAAAAGAAATCCCAAGGGGCTTTGAGATTATTTCACGTAGACATTTCTCTCTCGATCGTGTGTCCGGTTCGTAGTATTGATTAACATACTACTTTCTGTTTAAACTTCGTTTTACTGTTAAGTGATGAAAAAATGTCAAAATATCACAAATACAAAATGTTTCTTAAACGTATGAAATTTTACATGTGAGCAACTTAAAACAGGCCAGTCTATATTTTTATTTTATTAACATAAAAATAAAAATAAAGCCCTAGGGATTATTTTATAGTTTTCTTACATAATCGACAATCTGGGTGCTTATTTCAAGGTGATGAAGGGAAGGATGAGTTCTAAAACACTTAATAGTTTTTAAATTTGTTATCT